GAATTTGGAATTGGGGAATTTGAGATTTGGGGAATTTGGAATTTGGGGAACCTGGAATTTGGAGATTTTGGAATTTGGAAATTTTGAGAATCCCCAGATCCCTAGATTACTATATCTCTAGATTACAAAATATTAAAATTCCAAAATTTCTGTATCCAAAACCTCTTCATCCCAAAAAACCTCAACTTAAAAAATCCCTAAGTTAAACTATTTGACTAGACTCCAAAATTCTTAGATTGCCATATCCCACAACCAAAAGTCTCTATGTAAAAAAAATCACTAGAAAAAATTCCTAGATTGAAAATCACTAAATTCGAGAGAGAAATCTGTTCAGTTTTGAGTTGATGGAAGGGAGATTTGCTTGCGACTGTACCCCGTAGGCGGTGTGCAATAATAATTTCAAACAGCACGCAGAGAAGTTAGAGTAGTTGGAAAACGTTGGCCGGCGTAATACTGGACTAGTTCGAGTATACTCTTCGCGACGTTAAGCCTCTCGATAATTCTCGGCTACACTAGGGATTTGCATCCTTACACGAGGTCGTTGATAAAATCGATCGATGTAACGACGCTATGTAAACTGACTTAACTAAGAAATTTCACTTCCTTTTCCTCTCTTTCTGATTTTATTTAAGTTGATATGTAGACTTTATATCATTCGTGTGTCACCATCGTTCACTTATCAAATTTATAATTCAAAAATTTTTAAATTCCAAAATTCCAATTCCAAATTCCTCAAATTCCAAATTCCCCAATTCCAAAATCCCCAAATTCCAAATTTCCCAAATTTCAAATTCCCCAAATTCCAAATTCCCCAATTCCCATATCCCCAATTCCAAATTTCCAAAATTCCAAATTTCCTAAATTCCAAATTCCCCAAATTCCAAATTCCCCAAATTCCAAAATTTCCAATTCCCATATCCCCAATTCCAAAATCCCCAAATTCCAAATTCCCCAAATTCCAAAATCCCCAAATTCCAAATTCCCCAAATTTCAAATTACCCAAATTCCAAATTCCCCAAATTCCAAATTTCCAATTCCAAAATCCCCAAAATCCAAATTCCCCAAATTCCAAATCTTCCAAATTCCAAATTCCCCAAATTCCAAATTCCCCAATTCCAAAATTCCCAAATTTCAAAATCCCCAATTCCCAAATCCCCAAATTCCAAATTACCTAAATTCCAAATTTCCAATTCCAAAATCCCCAAAATCCAAATTCCCCAAATTCCAAATCTTCCAAATTCCAAATTCCCCAAATTCCAAATTCCCCAATTCCAAAATTCCCAAATTCCAAAATCCCCAATTTCCAAATTCCCCAATTCCAAAATCCCCAAATTCCAAATTCCCTAAATTCCAAAATCCCCAAATTCCCAAATCCCCAAATTCCCCAAATTCCAAAATCCTCAAATTCTAAATTCCCCAATTCCAAATTCCCCAAATTCCAAATAACCCAGATTCCAAATTCCCCAAATTCCAAATCTCCCAAATTCCAAAATCCCCAAATTCCAAATTCCCCAAATTCCAAATTCCAAATTCCCCAATTCCAAAATCCCCAAATTCCAAAATCCCAACTTCCAAAATCCCCAACTTCCAAAATCCCCAACTTCCAAAATCCCCAAATCCCCAAATTAAAAATTCCCAAATTCCCCAACTTAACAAACATTTAAATTGAGAAAATGTCCACGAACGATGCTGTGGTCATTAAAGGTACGTCCACTTCGTACATTGGTGAACTATGGAAAATATCGAAAAATATTGGAAAAGAGTAGAAGTAGGAAAATGGATAGACCGGGATTCGAATGTGTCTTACGTAATGTAACATTCGAAAGTGGGTTGCACGGTTCACCGGACTTATTTTGCGACTCTCGAACGGAATTTCCGGAACGATTTTCCTTTTACCGACTATTTATGCACGCATCGATTTATACGGCCGCGCGAAATAACAGTCAGTTTACGGAACCGTACGCTGTCGAGAGATTTATCTTTGTTTGTAAGAAAATGAATTAAAAGATTCGTACATACCTGTTCGACCCATAGGTTCGTCGTCATGATCTGATTCTTGAGATTCTGCAAAGGAGACAATGAAAGTCCAATAATTGTAGACGAGATACGCGAGGAGTTGTTTCAAGTGGTTCTACGTTACTTGTCAAATACGTTTCTTTTTTTGGTATTCGAGGATTTCATAAAGTTTCACTCGTTGAGGTCGGACGAGACATAATATTGGAAACTCACAACATCGATCAACTGCGAGAGTTTGAGCTTGATTTTAACGGTGAGGGCGTCTGTGACGTTGACCACTGGACGAACCAGCTTGTTGTAATTCGACAGGAGGTCGTCGTACAGTCGCTTCGCGTCTGGATTTCCTGAGCATCCTGCAAGACAAGTCGACTCTTTACCTTTCAAGCTAATAATTTAATATCTAATAGAATGTAATAATTAATCTTAATTTGTCGAATTACGGGGTTAATGCAATTTTTCCTGAGCAATGAATCATTCAAATACGTCTGACACGATAAGCATTCCATCATAAGATTTCCAACGCTCGATATCAAAAACTGTTCGAGAACGAGACGATCAGATACGAAGACGATTCTCGGTTGTGGCTTACAGCGATCTTTGCTCAACATTTCCATTAATCTTGTAATAGATTTCGCTGGCACGATTCGAGTGTTATTCATCGTTTTCGAACATTGTATTATCGGTGCTTTACGAGCTCTGGAGCTCTACCAGGATGCTTGATAATCCGCGTCAACCTATGCGGAATGCTACCGACGATTTCGGTTCTGAAGCGGAGCCAGAAAATGTTTACGATACACCTTGCACACTTTTTCTTATTGCTCGAAACAAAATTCCTGTTATATTGCCACTGGTTATATTGCAAGTTGAATTATTATTATGATATTATATCTGTGGAGATTGTTAGAATATCGAAGGTGATTGATATATGTTTCACGGTAGCGAATTAAGTTAGTACACTTTATACCACCATGCTTTATATATTGCCACGCGTTATATTGCCACATGCCATATATTGCCGCATGTGCAATATCACCACGCTTTATATCATTAGATGTCACATATCACGATCCGAGAAATATCGCTACGCACCATATATTGCCACGCGTTTTATCGCCATATGCCATATATCATTATGTGTATCAAATACTGACACGCGTCATATATTGCCACATATTATATCTATACAACCACACAATGATACATGCCATATGTTGCGACGCGTTAAATACTGACACGTACCATATATTGCCACACACCATATATCGCCGCATGCCCAATATCGCCATTATATATCATCTCGCGTTAAGTAACAAGTGTTCTGATTTATACATTACCAATACCCATAATTTTCCACGTCTATCTATGGCAATATACTGAGAGACAACTGTATTACTCTTACTTTATCGCTTACAAGAAATTGAAAAAATTAAATTACTTAAATCTTGCATTCTGTCAAATGTAACAATGTAACTGTACAAATATTTTAGAAGTTATTTATTAAAACATGTAGCGCAGAAATTCGAAAGTTTTTCTATTTCCTTGCAGTAAACATTTCAGTATTTCCCAAGAAAGAATTGATTCAAGACGACCAAGAAAACGTGTAATATTACCGAAGAAGTTTGTCCAACTTCGTTCTTATCTTTAAATGACATTTCGAACGCGTACACTTGGGAACGTCTCTGGTAAGAGAAAAATGCAAGAATAAAGTGAATCCAGGGAATCACGGGGAAATTCGAGAGAACTACAGGAAAACTTGGTACGATATCATTCGAAGCAAAGCGGCACGTTACTGGTAGAATCGACTGAACGGGTCGTTCGCGATATCGCGGCGAAATAAATCCACACGTTTCGTGCATTATCTGTTACGACGTTACTCTTAAAAAAAAACTATCATATTATATCTCTGGAAGTGCCAACAAAAAATCTTATAACCTAACCTAACCGAACAAATAAATATTAATTCTACCTAATATTTAATACTTGAGCAAAGTAGTATCGAATCGATCGGTAGATCGGTAGATCCCTAGATCTCAAATTCCCCAGATCTCAAATTCCTCAATTCCAAATTCCCTAGATCCCAAATTCCCAGAACCCCAAAATTCTCGAGATCCCAAATTCTCAAAATCCCAAATTCCCTAGACCCCTAAATTCTCAAAATCCCAAATTCCCTAGATTCCAAATTCTCGAGATCCCAAATTCCCTAGACCCCAAAATTCTGGAGATCCAATATTCTCAAAATCCAAAATTCCCTAGATCCCAAATTCTCAAAATCCCAAATTCCCTAGATCCCAAATTCTCGAGATCCAAAATTCTCAAAATCCCAAATTTCCTAGACCCCTAAATTCACAAAATCCGAAATTCCCTAGATTCCAAATTCTCGAGATCCCAAATTCCCTAGACCCCAAAATTCTCGAGGTCCAAAATTCTCAAAATCCAAAATTCCCTAGATCCTAAATTCTCAAAATCCCAAATTCCCTAGATCCCAAATTCTCGAGATCCCCAAATTCCCTAGATTCCAAATTCTCGAGATCCCAAATTCCCTAGACCCCAAAATTCTCGAGGTCCAAAATTCTCAAAATCCAAAATTCCCTAGATCCTAAATTCTCAAAATCCCAAATTCCCTAGATCCCAAATTCTCGAGATCCAAAATTCTCAAAATCCCAAATTTCCTAGATCCCAAATTCTCTAGACCCCAAAATTCCCTAGATCCCAAATTCTCAAAATCCCAAATTCCCTAGATCCCAAATTCTCGAGATCCAAAATTCTAAAAATTCCAAATTCCCTAGATCCCAAATTCTCTAGACCCCAAAATTCCCTAGGTCCCAAAATTCTCGAGATCCCAAATTCCCTAGACCCCAAAATTCTCGAGATCCCAAATTCTCAAAATTCAAAATTCCCTAGATCCCAAATTCTCGAGATCCCAAATTCCCTAGACCCCAAAATTCTCGAGATCCAATATTCTCAAAATCCAAAATTCCCTAGATCCTAAATTCTCAAAATCCCAAATTCCCTAGACCCCTAAATTCTCAAAATCCCAAATTCCCTAGACCCCTAAATTCTCAAAATCCCAAATTCCCTAGACCCCTAAATTCTCAAAATCCCAAATTCCCTAGATTCCAAATTCTCGAGATCCCAAATTCCCTAGACCCCAAAATTCTCGAGATCCCAAATTCCCTAGATCCTAAATTCTCTAATTTCCAAATTCCGAGAATTACTCTCGTTACAAATATTGTATAGATCACAGAAAAATAAGTGAGAAAATTTTCATAGTGAAGGAAAAAAAAAATCTTGAAAACCTTCTGATATCTTCATTACGTTACTCAGTTATTTTATTCGACGTGAACGAACGTAATCGGACAACGGCTCGAAAAAGAGGTGCTATCGAAGCAATCAGTCGACGAATCGACATCCGTGAAATTGTTGCTTCGACGTAGTGGCCGTGGTTTAGCAATAAGAACGACCACTATATTACCTGGACGATATTGCGTTTCGCGCGAGACGGGATTGTTCGATGAGCCGGACATATCGAGAAATATTGAGCTCCGTAGCGGCGGCATGGCAGACGTTTAAAAGACACTCGATTCGTCGTTCAAGTATATCCACTTATCCGTTGTTTATTTCACGGAAAAACGCCCGGCAACTTTTCCACTCGGAATCACCGATGAGAGAACGTAACCTGATCGATACGAGACGGTCATATATCGAGATGTGAACTTATAAAATCTACGAGTACCGATGAGTTAAGTCTGTGACAATTTAGTTATATTGTACAGTAGAATTAATAGAATTATTCAAAAAGAGAAACAGTAAAATAATAACAAAGCAGTAAAATAAAAGCGTAAAATGCAAGTAAAAAGATAATTAAAATATTTCTTAGCGAAAGTAACGTGTGCTTGTTTGCAGGAAATCTGCGTACGAACGCAAACGATTAAAAGTAGAAAGCGAGCATAACTAGCGAGAGCAAAGTAGGTAGTACAAGACCGCGTTTGGTCAGACGAGTAAAGGGGAACCGCTTCTAACCGGATAAGTAGAATGAAGTAACGTATAAGCAGACAAGTGGAGTAAACCGGGCTAAGTAGAATGAGTCCGTGTTTGCACGGACAAGCGGAATGGGACGGTGCTTATACAGATAAGTGGAATGAGACTGTGCTTGTACAGATAAGTAGAATAGGATTACCGTCTAATGATAAGTAAAACAGTATCGCTAAAACAGTATGTCCGACAAATATACTCTGATTATCCCGTCAACGAGATTTAATACTTACGCATTGCGAGCATTCATTTTTGACTCGTACTACTAGTGCACTCATAACAATATACATTTTTAATAAGAAATTCGTTGTTCATGGTAAAAATCTTTGAGGAATTTCCAAATTCCGATATTTCCAATTTTCAAAAATTTCCAAATTCCAATATTTCCAATTTTCAAAAATTTCCAAATTCCAAAATTTCCAAATTCCAAAATTTCCAATTTTCAAAAATTTCCAAATTCCAAAATTCCCCAATTCCAAATTTTCCAAAATCCAAAATTCCCCAATTCCAAATTTTCCAAATTCCAAAATTCCCCAATTCCAAATTTTCCAAATTCCAAAATTCCCCAATTCCAAATTTTCCAAATTCCAAAATTCCCCAATTCCAAATTTTCCAAATTCCAAAATTCCCCAATTCCAAATTTTCCAAATTCCAAAATTCCCCAATTCCAAATTTTCCAAATTCCAAAATTCCCCAATTCCAAATTTTCCAAATTCCAAAATTCCCCAATTCCAAATTTTCCAAATTCCAAAATTCCCCAATTCCAAATTTTCCAAATTCCAAAATTCCCCAATTCCAAATTTTCCAAATTCCAAAATTCCCCAATTCCAAATTTTCCAAATTCCAAAATTCCCCAATTCCAAATTTTCCAAATTCCAAAATTCCCCAATTCCAAATTTTCCAAATTCCAAAATTCCCCAATTCCAAATTTTCCAAATTCCAAAATTCCCCAATTCCAAATTTTCCAAAATCCAAAATTTCCAAATTCCAAAATTCCCCAATTCCAAATTTTCCAAAATCCAAAATTTCCAAATTCCAAAATTCCCCAATTCCAAATTTTCCAAAATCCAAAATTTCCAAATTCCAAAATTCCCCAATTCCAAATTTTCCAAAATCCAAAATTTCCAAATTCCAAAATTCCCCAATTCCAAATTTTCCAAAATCCAAAATTTCCAAATTCCAAAATTCCCCAATTCCAAATTTTCCAAAATCCAAAATTTCCAAATTCCAAAATTCCCCAATTCCAAATTTTCCAAAATCCAAAATTTCCAAATTCCAAAATTCCCCAATTCCAAATTTTCCAAAATCCAAAATTTCCAAATTCCAAAATTCCCCAATTCCAAATTTTCCAAAATCCAAAATTTCCAAATTCCAAAATTCCCCAATTCCAAATTTTCCAAAATCCAAAATTTCCAAATTCCAAAATTCCCCAATTCCAAATTTTCCAAAATCCAAAATTTCCAAATTCCAAAATTCCCCAATTCCAAATTTTCCAAAATCCAAAATTTCCAAATTCCAAAATTCCCCAATTCCAAATTTTCCAAAATCCAAAATTTCCAAATTCCAAAATTCCCCAATTCCAAATTTTCCAAAATCCAAAATTTCCAAATTCCAAAATTCCCCAATTCCAAATTTTCCAAAATCCAAAATTTCCAAATTCCAAAATTCCCCAATTCCAAATTTTCCAAAATCCAAAATTTCCAAATTCCAAAATTCCCCAATTCCAAATTTTCCAAAATCCAAAATTTCCAAATTCCAAAATTCCCCAATTCCAAATTTTCCAAAATCCAAAATTTCCAAATTCCAAAATTCCCCAATTCCAAATTTTCCAAAATCCAAAATTTCCAAATTCCAAAATTCCCCAATTCCAAATTTTCCAAAATCCAAAATTTCCAAATTCCAAAATTCCCCAATTCCAAATTTTCCAAAATCCAAAATTTCCAAATTCCAAAATTCCCCAATTCCAAATTTTCCAAAATCCAAAATTTCCAAATTCCAAAATTCCCCAATTCCAAATTTTCCAAAATCCAAAATTTCCAAATTCCAAAATTCCCCAATTCCAAATTTTCCAAAATCCAAAATTTCCAAATTCCAAAATTCCCCAATTCCAAATTTTCCAAATTCCAAAATTCCCCAATTCCAAATTTTCCAAATTCCAAAATTCCCCAATTCCAAATTTTCCAAATTCCAAAATTCCCCAATTCCAAATTTTTCAAAATCCAAAATTTTCAAATTCCAAAATTCCTTAGATCCCAAATTCCCTAAGTTCCGAAATTCCCTAGATCCAAAATTTTATAGATCCCACATTCTCGTGATCCCAAATTCTCGAAATCCCAAATTCCCTAGAGCCCAAAATTCCCTAGATCCCAAATTCTCGAGATCCCAAATTCCCTAGATCCTAAATTCTCTAATTTCCAAATACCGAAATCTCTAGATTTCTAAATTTGAAAATTCCCCAATTCCTCAATTCGAAATTCCAAATTTTCCAAATTCCAAAATTTCCATCTAACGACGCAGTGTAGTACATTTCTAGAATTATTAGCATTGCAGTTAACATGACTTAAGTGAAAAGGTAATTATCGAAAATTAGAGACATAGAAAGACGTTTCGAAACTGATACGTTAATTAAACCACAGTAAGGTTTACACTGTTCCAAACGACAAATTGTTTGAAACGATGTTTCAGTTAATCACGGTCGGTTATTTGAGCCAACAGTACGATTCGCATACACTAATCGAAATTTTGCCCGCATTTTACCTAAATATCATATTAAATTACAGAGCGAATTTCGCTCTGATGCACTGTTTACTGTAACTAAAAACCAAACGTTCTGTACGAGCAATAATAGCGAAAGGTTTACCGTTCCATAACCTAACATTTCGCCGATACGATGAAGAACGAACAATCGTTATCTCGACAAAATTCACAAACGCGAATGATTTATTTAACAAACGCAATTTTATTTACAGAACTACAAATAATTCCGAATACTTGAAACTGTATCGGATAGAACGAGATACGTTTACTGGAGCAAAATGACGGCGAAAAAAGACTGGACATCGCTGGCTATTGTATACCATAAAACATTTACATTTGAATGGAAGAGAAGTGAGTATAGTTGATGCATATGCAGCAGTCGTTGCACGATTATATTCGGTGGTTTATTGTCCGGTGATGATAGACTTCGTCCTGGAGCTCAGCACAGATATTCGAAATGGAACACGCTGTCTGAGACTCCGAGAAATGGGCACCAGTCCTCAATTGCATTCATTGCGATTTTACAATTCTTACTGGACCTTCGTTCAATTTTGTGCTAAGTTATTAAAGGGTACTCGAAATTACAAATGTTTCAAGTATCAAATTTTCAAATTCTTACATTTGTGAATTCTTCAATTGCTAAATACTAAAAATAAAAAATTTTCAAAATTACAAAATTTCCAAACTCTAAATATTCCCAAATTCCAAATTCCCCAAATTCCAAAATCCCCAGATTCCAAATTCCCCAGATTCCAAATTCCCCAAATTCCAAATTCCCCAGATTCCAAATTCCCCAGTTTCCAAATTCCCCAAATTCCAAAATCCCCAAATTCCAAATCTCCCAAATTCCAAATTCCCCAAATTCCCCAAATTCCCCAAGTCCCAAAATCCCCAAATTCCAAATTCCCCAGATTCCAAATTCCCCAAATTCCAAATTCCCCAAATTCCAAATTCCCCAAATTCCAAATTCCCCAAATTCCAAATTCCCCAAATTCCAAATTCCCCAAATTCCAAATTCCCCAAATTCCAAATTCCCCAAATTCCAAATCTCCCAAATTCCAAAATCCCAAAATTCCAAATTCCCCAAATTCCAAATTCCCCAAATTCCAAATTCCCCAAATTCCAAAATCCCAAAATTCCAAAATCCCCAAATTCCAAATCTCCCAAATTCCAAAATCCCAAAATTCCAAATTCCCCAAATTCCAAAATTCCCAAATTCTCCAGTTCCCCAAAACCCCAAATTCCCCTACCTTAAATGGCACAATACATAGTGGCAATATAACACGATCTTCCTGCATCAAAGAACCTATACTCATACACTAGAAAGTTATCTGAAAGCTTTGCAAACTGCACAATAAAGGAAGGAATATAATAAGCATCAGTGTCTAAATTACGTAATTTTGAATTCGATACACGCGTTTATGAATTTTGAAGAAACGTCAACGTCATGTACCCGATGATATAATAGTCGCGACCAGGGAAACACGTTGGTCGCTGATTGTTCGATAGATTTATTGGACTTACCTGATATGAGCACCAACACTATCCACATGATCCCCACCAGGCTCTTCATCATGTCATTGTGTCACGTCCAACTCATTTCTTCTCGCCTTCGTGCTCTCCGGACCCTTCAGTTCTAGCACTGAAACAACGAGAACGATGTTCGATGGAGTACACGATGTGCCTTGAATAACTACTTACAATTACACCGAAATGCGTTTTTCTGATTAACGGCTGTGGCCATTTGTCGTGAACCAATCGAACTTGTCTAACTACCTTTTTCCCGAGGAGTAATTTCGCGGACTGCTGTACTTTATCATTTTGCCGTACTTGCATATTTGCGTCACGGTGCATACATCATTAGATCTCTGGATATTTACATCCTTCTACATCTACATCTTTAAACCTCTCGTTCTATCTAAGAACGCATAGATTTCAAGAATCTCTCAAATACCTCAAAGTCTCTGTATAACAAGAAATATTCGATATTTTTGCGCCACAGTTTCGAAGACTCGCAGTTATCGATACAAATTGTCAATATTGAAAAATTGTATTTTCTATGATTACATACAGAACAAAAACGTAAAAGCGGCAAACAGAATGTCCGACGATCACGTAGAAACCCTAGCGACGAAAACGCGAAAGGGAAAGCACGCGTTGGGAATCGAGTTTAAAAATTGTAACAGCGTTCCGCGAGCAACGAATTGAAAGACAACGCGACAAGCCAGAAAGCGTGTACGGAGAGCGATGATTTATGAAGCGTGTAATTGCGGTCCGCAGCGAAACACCGGGACTATTTTTACACCTATGATACGACGTTCATGCTAGATACGTATCAGTGATTAATTAACTCCGGTGGACATCGGTATGCTTTTTGCTCGGCCAGATAAGCGATTCAATTTTCTTTACCGGCGGATTAATTTTATCGACGAACAAACACGAAAGCACGATCTCTTTTTCTTGCTGGACACGCTATGGGATTTCGACGTTTATTTCAACAATCGACTTTTTCCCATCGATTAGTATCGGAATTTCAGTTATATGAAATCGGAGGTACACAGATCTAGGGATATGGAATATAGGGATTTCCGGATGTAGGGATATGGAATATAGGGATTTCCGGATCTAGGGATATGGAATATAGGGATTTCCGGATCTAGGGATATGGAATATAGGGATTTCCGGATCTAGGGATATGGAATATAGGGATTTCCGGATCTAGGGATATGGAATATAGGGATTTCCGGATCTAGGGATATGGAATATAGGGATTTCCGGATCTAGGGATATGGAATATAGGGATATCCGGGTCTAGGGATATGGAATATAGGGATTTCCGGATGTAGGGATATGGAATATAGGGATTTCCGGATCTAGGGATATGGAATATAGGGATTTCAGGATCTAGGGATATGGAATATAGGGATTTCCGGATCTAGGGATATGGAATATAGGGATTTCCGGATGTAGGGATATGGAATATAGGGATTTCCGGATGTAGGGATATGGAATATAGGGATTTCCGGATGTAGGGATATGGAATATAGGGATTTCCGGATTTAGGGATTTCTGGATCTAGGGAAATAGGTGTCTAGGAATCTAGGGATTTTTCGAGATGGGAAAATTAGAATATAGAACTTTACAGAGTTAGAAATCTTTCGATCTAGGGATTTTCTGATTTAGGAATATTTCAGATCTGGGGATTTTTTTTGGTCTAGGGATCTTTTGCGATTTAGGAGTTTTTAGTATAGGGCCTTTCCGGGTCTGGGGATTTTTGGTATAGGGATTTTTCTGATCTGGGGATTTTTTTGATCTGGGGAAATTTCAGATCTGGAGATTTTTGGTATAGGATCTTTTCTGATTTGTGGATTTGGTGGTCTAGGGATTTTTCTGATCTCGGGATTTTTTCGACCTAGGGATTTTTTGGTCTAGGGATTTTTTCCGATTTAAGGATTTTTTAAATTCGAATTTGAAATTTAGAAGGTTGGAAACTAAGGGTATAGGTTCTAGGGGCTTTAGTGCAAATATTTCGAATCTAGGGATTTTCCCCCAAATGTGGAATTTGATCCCTGGGCGTTGTAGGTTATCTAGGAATTTAATTATTTAGGGAATCAGATAACAAGGAATTATCTTCACTACACAGATAACATAGAATCTAGGGATTTTTTAATTCGGATGTTTGAATATATCCGAGACTTGTTTCAATGCGAAAGTTTCACTGCTAGGAAGTTTAATCTCCGCTCGCGTAAATAACAGGGTAAACCACCGGTGCACTGTTAACTGCAGTATTCCCTAACACCGCAACAGTGATGAGTCGATGTTTCGATAGAATCGAACCTCTTTGGCACGGCCGTGAACGGAAAAGAAGAATCGATCGATCGTCGGTCGAAGTAAAATTCGCAAACGAACAAACGCGTAAACGGTAATTTAGCGTCCGCTTGATCCGTTTCAAGCTACCGCATCGTTCTGAGCCACGTGGACCGCAGAACTGCGGCTGCAGCGTTTCGTGCGTTCACCACGGCCGCAACGTTCTATAGCGACGAACGGTGTAGATCGAGCAGGCGTGCTCAAACGATCCTACCGAATTTGTCGCCAACTGCGGCTTCATATTTTTTCATTTACCCGCTTACATAACGCTGCGGCCAACGCGCCTGTGCCTCCATGCGCGATAAACAAAAATCTGGCAGAAAAAATGCAGGGACTAAATACAACACGTGTGCTTGTCGTTTTTTCACGCCTTGAATGCTGCATTTTTCGCTCCAACTTTCTTTCTCTTTTGTTACGCAGCTATGGATCGCACGCTACCGTGATTACAGGTCCGTTACACGACATGTAAAAACGAAATAATTCTTTGTGCAAAAATGAAAAAAATATGTAGAATGGTATTCATTGATTTTCTCAGAGATTGTGTTCACAAATTCCTAAATATTCAGAGTCCTACATTTTCAAATTCGTTCACATTTTACACACTGAAATTCTCAAACTTTTAAATACATCGCTCGCTTCTATATTTGATAGTCGATGTTTAAGTAAATACAAAGTTCTCGCGAACAATTTAGATCCACGTTAAAAAACCGTTCCCAAATTAAGGCCACGGTATCAGCGTTAAAGAAAAACTTGCGGCAGAAAAAGGGAGACAGTTTTTCTGTGTAGAAGCACATTTATCACGCGATAGAAGATCAAAGAAAAAAAATCTCGAGCTAACGACACGTCCTCGATACGTTTCAATATTCGCAAATGGATTACGTCGCATAGCAACTAAGACATCAAGAGATGCGTCGTTAAGTAGATTCGTCTACTTGTACGCTTGTACACTTACCTAAATTTCGATGGTACAGTTTGCTGTGTATACTATGCTATGTATAGGTTATGTAGGGCCAATGAATGGACTGTTACCGACACCATTTACATTGCCAATTGAGCAACTTCCACTTTACATACAGTGCTGTGCACACAAATTGCGATGGGTGTTGGTAGAAATCTTTGGATGTACGAATGTGTTAAGAAGTTGTAGGGTGTCTGTATTTGCGTTTGATGTGGATGTGTGTCGCTGTATTGGGAAATTTTTACATTTTGGCAAAGGAAAAAGCTGTTCAAAATCGTTCCACCTACAATACCTTTTCGGTTCTTACAGTAATTGTGAGACATCTTGTACAAAAACTTGCATTAATAAATGTTCCACATATGCAAATCCATGCATCTTCAAATCTTTATATATACACATCCTTACAAGGGCAGATCACATATGCATGTGTGTATGTTTGCAAATTCCTACATGACCACATTCGTATATTTTCAAGTACCTACATCTTTGAACCTTCACCTAATCAAATTTTTATATCTTCAAATTCATAAGTAGAGTACAAACTCCATATCTTCAAATCCTTCATATATGCATATCGTTACAAGACCACATATGTCCATGTGTCTAAGTTTCCAAATTCCTACATCCTCATATTCTTATATTCTCAAACAGCTACATACATCTCTGAACCTTCACCTAATCAAATTTCTATATTCACAAATTCATAAGTTTTCAAACTTCATATCTTAAAATCCTTCACATATCCACATCCTTACAAGACCACATATGTCCATGTGTCTATGTTTCCAAATTCCTGCATCCTCATATTCTTATATTATCAAATAGCTACATACATCTCTGAACCTTCACCTAATTAAATTTCTATATCCACAAATTCATAAGTTTACAAACTCCATATCTTCAAATCCTTCACATATGCATACTCCTACAAGACCACATATGTCCATGTGTCTATGTTTCCAAATACCTACATCCTCACATTCTTATATTCTCAAATAGCTACATACATCTCTGAACCTTCACCTAATCAAATTTCTATATCCACAAATTCATAAGTTTACAAACTTCATATCTTAAAATTCTTCACATATCCACATCCTTACAAGATCACATATGTCCATGTGTTTATGTTTCCAAATTCCTACATTCACACATTCCTATATTCTTAAATAGTTACATCTCTAAACCTTCACCTAAGCATATCCTCAGTTATCCTCAAATTCATAAGTCTCCATACTCCATATCTCCAAATCTATCACATATGTAAATCTCTACATTCCCAAATCTTCACATATGCAAATTTTCACGTTTCCAAATCTCTACATCCCCAAATCCCTATATTCCCAGATACTTACATCTCCAAACCTTCACATAACCAAATTCCTATATCTTCAAATTCATAAGTCTCCAAACTCCATATCTCCAAATCCATCACATATGTAAATCTCTACATTCCCAAATCTTCACATATGCAAATTTCCACATTTCCAAATCTCTACATCCCCAAATTCCTATATTCCCAGATACTTACATCTCCAAACCATCATATAACCAAATTTGTATATCCTGAAATTCATAAGTTCCCAAATTCCATATCTCCAAATCCATCACATATGTAAATCTCTACATTCCCAAATTTCCACATATGCAAATTTCTACGTTCCCAAATCCCTATGTTCTCAAATACCTACAGCTCCCAACTTCGATCTAACCAAATCCCTAAATCCCTAAATCCCCAAATCCCCATATCCCGAAATCCTCAAATCATATCCGAACTCCTCCATCTTCACATACTCTATTCCTATATTCTCATATCT